GAATATATGTGTTACAATTTAATTTTCAAGTAGGTGTATTTCAAATCAGCTCAGGGTTCTTCAAAACGTAAGCTTGATTCACTTGATAAAAGACCAAAGCACCTTATTTTAATTCAGTAACCTACAGTATTCTGAAAGATTGGTTGGAATATTTTTCCAGAAACTTTGTTATGATATATATAAGTCTATATGAACTTCATGATGATGTCGCAAACTTGGAGAATTACTACAACCACCATCAAAAGAGTACAGCCATCTATAAACAATTGTGTTTGCAAGATATTCCACATCCGTCGGTCGAACATCATTAGCAACAATCTACTGTGACAAAGAACAAATCGACCTTTAGTTGAAGAGTAAGTTAAGAATAGACGTTGGAGGTGGATAGGACATACACCGAGGAACTCATCAAACTGGATCACGAGGCAAGTGATAACTCGTTATTTTCAAGGTAAAAGGAAAAGAGGCAGATCAAAGAACACATTGCGCCGGGAATCTGAGGTAAACATGAAGGGAATGAATAGCGATTGACGAAAATTGGGAAGCAGAGCCCAGGACAAAGTTAGTTATGGAATTTTGTTCGGCAGTCAGTGCTCCACGGAACCTAACAGGTGTGGGTAAATAAGTAAAAACCACTTAAATATATTTTACATGTCTTATCACTTAGATGATTTAGTAAAGTCAAGAAAAGTACATTCACTGATTGGAGTGAACTAAAAAATGGAAAGAATTCATTCCTACTCAAAGATGTGGAAGTGTTGAAGTATTTGTTTTGACTGACAAATATTTAATACACAGGTACAAGCTTTATTTATGATGCCAATGAAATGTGCTCACATGAGTTCACGGTATTTTACAGTCTTGAAGTCCTATTCTATTTTGCGTTACTAGTGTACTTTTGGACACATCTGCAAATCTCTGTATTATTCAGTACATTCAACATTATTTCTTCTTGTGATTGACGTGCGCCTATATTTTACTTGGTTGATTCAATTTACTTACGATGCACATAATTTGAAGTCACTGAATATTATCTCTATTCCCTTTACCGTATAATCCAGATAATGCTTAGGAATCAGCATGTATTTAGTAATTAACTTCAGAATAAATTATTGTATTGTTCTACATGCAAAGTGTAGAGTAACTAGTAGCACTTCCATTAAAACATTTTTCACTTTTAATAACATACAAATATATTCGAAGAAGAAAAATGTGTAGCTTTTTGAACGATTTGCTTCCAGTTTCGGTTCAAAGATTGTCTTAAGCCGAAGCTCATATTATTGTTGATTACTTTCGCTATCAAGTGTAAGTGCATTGTGTGCTCTTACTGGGTCGTTAACTCACCTTTATTTTAGTTCTTCTCTTTTTCCACTATCTTTAATCACGCAAGTCTGTATGCTCCCCCAGCACACAAAGTACCTTATGGCTTGACTCGAACGGCCACAAATGTTGTCAACATGTCTTTTCTCAAGCATAGTTTGTACATCAAGAAGCAGTTCAGTTTGATAACCACACTCCAATTTTACTGGTTACAACTTGTTGGCAAAATTACTCATATATATATGAACATATCTTATCACATATTTTGTATATAGTTTTTGTTTTATTGTGAAAATAAATTACGTGTTGTTTTACGTGTCTTTCCATTTTGGGCAATATCAGAGTGGTTTAGTAACGAATCATTTTTAAACTAAACTCAAAAATAAAAGTATTTGTCAACAATAAATTCAATATTCGTCTGCAGTCACAAAGCTAATTTATTTTTCTAGAATTTAAATTTGGTCAGTAACCGGTAGATTCATTTGCAAACTTATACAGTGAAAAAATGGAAACTTACCAAACCGTTCGACCTTGTGGTAATATATAAGCTGTATGATGAACCCAATTAGTTAAAGTAGGGTCAGTCAAATCATAAATTGTCATTGGCTCATATTCGGGATTTTCTATAAAATTTTCTCTCAAAGCATCTTCTTCTATTTGTTCTTCTTCTTCATCTTCGTTAAATTGATAATAATTTATTGGAGAAATTGTAGTTGATCCAGATATCCGTGCTATTTGTGCCCGAAGAAAATTTTTTTCGACTCCAGGGAAAGTTGGAAATGTATTAATTTCCGCTTCCAAATCACCCGTACAAAGGTATTTTATCATCCGGCTGGTGACAATCTAAGAGTTTATAACACCACACTTGTAGTTGTTATACAATACAGTTTGGTAAAAATTCGTAGCACCCAAACGCTAGTTAAAATTTGCTACTTTTAGGAAATATTTTGTCTATCCAGCATTGTAAAAGTAGAAAAACAAACTTTTCTTCACAACTGATACTACTTATTAATAAAAAGATAGTTCCGATCACATGATTTGTTAGTTCCCTAGTTGCATTCACATGTAAAGTGATTTAACTCCAACATACGATATATGCAACACACCTAAGTTTATCTGCACTGTATGTATTATTGTCCATTAAAATGCTGAGTGGACTGGACATTTGGACATTCACAAGCAGTTAGTAATATTAAAAGAATGGTCAAATTTTATGTCGTTGAGTCGAAGCAATTTGTGAGCTTTCGTCAATAATCAGTGAGAATTGTTGTCTTCAGAAACCGTCTAACCCGCGAGAATTTATTGTTTTACTCAGTGTACAAAGTTTAACCACCAAAAGTACAGAAGGAAGTGAAAAGAGAATTCCGCCGTTATAGAGATGAAATTTGATAGACGGTTGGGACAAATATTTCAAAATGGCAAGTTTTTTTAAGAGAACGAAATGACTATTGTACAATGATTTGTTAGTTTTGCCAAACAGTAAAGTAAACAACGTCTGAATTTGCCGTTTAAGCTATTATCATCGATAATTTTTTTGCATGTATTTCGTAAATCGGCAGTTGGTAAGACGGTTCGATAGTTAATCTGACTCCAAAATTAAGCATTTGTCAAACAAGCCCGTGTATTTATTTATATTACTAATACCGATGTACCGGCAACCATTGAAGAAGTGATGTTCCAAAACCAGACACAATTATTTTCTCAAGCACAATCTAGCAACAGGCTAAGAATGAATCTAACACGAGAGTACATCTATTGAGGGAGTGATCTGGCATATTCCTAACTGATCATGAACATGCACGGATAAAATTTGAAGATACAAAATTGTTAACTGTTGAAAGGAAATGCTGAAAGATGCATGCAATATGGTTACTACAATTAATTTTGATTAACTTATAGTCTTGATAGATCACTTGTTAATCACATTGGTTGTAACCTAGAATAAACGAAACTTCTTCGGTTACTCAGTAACATGGCTCTTGACATTAATTATTCATTGGCAGCAATGAGTTCTACTTATGTGAGGGAATGACTAGGAATTTGTTCATCCACTTCCTGTCATACAAAATAGATTTGAAGGGAGATAACTTTGCAGTATGACAAGTGACAGTCACGGCTTCATGGCTAAGATTAAAGGTGTGCCTCGAGTAATATTAAACTTTAATAATTGCGAAAAAATTTCTGTAAATAGTAATAGCTTTTGAAACCATTTGAGAGTAAGATGTGTGCAAAACACAACATTGCATAAGCCATATGGAGTTCTACCACTAAAAGAAAGTGATACCATGTTTAAATAAAAGTTGCAATTTGAGTAATCATTGATGACTGGTCCTGTTCCTTCACTTTTAAATTTTCAACTCAACGCATGCAGAAAATGACATATGTGATTGGCACTTGCAGAAAAGACGATTGTCTTACACCTCATCCGAAAAATATAAATCTCCGGTATCATTTCTGTTTTCGAACAATCTCTAATTGAGTGTAATCGTAAAAATGGATGAAGTAATTACAAATATACTAACTTTTATATAACATGTTTGGAAAAATTTACCTGCTCTGGCGTAACATCGGGCAATCTGACCCAATCTTCACCTAAAACATTACAAACAAAGTATGTTTTTCGATTGGTGCCTTTCCCTTGTTCTTCTGGTGGTACTGATGGCTGTGGTTTCCATTCGGATTTCGGAAGCGGATCCATATCGAGAATTGCCAATCTTTCGCTGAGTTGAACATCTGATCGTGCCGTACTTTCATTGTCTTTCAGGTTAGGGAGAGTGTCAGGTGAATAAATATTCTTATCATCAGGTTCCAGTTCTACCTCTAAAACGTAATAATTCCGGGAAGTTCCTAAATATTTTCCCCAAAACCTTACAAAAGTTGGTGAAATTTTCTTTAGAAACGACCGAATCGATAATGAAAGGTTAGTAACTTCTTCCTGAGAAAAGCCTTACCCAAAAACTTATTATTGAGATGATAAGACAAACCTATGCCTGCTTGGCCCAAAGCAAAGAAAAGTTTAGACAAATCAGGTAAAACTTCTGATCGTCGAATTTCTTTGGAAGAGACCTGATGAATTTGAAAAAGCATTTATATTTTCACTACTTAAAACTAACTTTGAAGTATGGCTGACGGCGTAACGCTAAGTCAAGATCAGCAGAAACCTCTTTTGCACGTCTCAATAAGTGCAAGTCCGCTGAACATTTATACTTTTTAATTTTGCGACTAAAGTTCTCCAACTCTACAAGTGGGTTTTCACCACTCTTTTTTAAAATGCTACACAGCATTTGAACTAAATGGTCATAACTAAAAAAATATTTTGGCAGGATAAGTTAAAAATCATTTCATGGACTGACATATTCAAACCGACATCATTACATCTCTGTAACAAGCCTTTGGCACTGACAAACGCATATCTATTCGGCTTCAACACAAAATCACCATTCTCAAGTGCACTTTCATTAAAAACTTGCTCTTCATTGCTAACGCTAGACATCGTTATCCGCGCTCTAACGTTGTTATGACAGTCAAATAGTCAAACAAATAATTTGAAATATGCAGATTATTATTCATTTCATAAACATTTACTGATAATTTTTTGTTCGGAAATAGCGTTCTGTTGAAAATAAGGTTCCGAAGTAATAAGTGCGCCTAAACTGTGTGACGCGGTGTACGCGTTAATCATGTGCGCTTATCACAATCCTGCGTATCCTCCAAACTACCCAGAAAGTATGTTGTTATTGATTATAATATTAACGTCGTATTAGCTTCTTATTATGCCAACTTCCAGCCTAGTAGTCAGGAATATGTTCCTGCGGCACCACGTACGAACGGTAATACTGGGATGTCTTTTATTCAAAACCAATTTATTCCCGACTTAGCTGTCCGTTATGGTTCAGCTATGTTTGATGAAGGGGCAAACTTTGTTCACAAAAATGTAAGCTTTCCTTTTAGGACTAACTGTTATCAGGTTGACCAATACGTTAATCGATTTCGCATAAAATACTACTTTTCTGTCAATAATTCATACGTTGCCAAAAAAGTCGGGCTGATCTTGTTCCCGTTTGCCCATACAGTAAGCACTGTTCCAGTTTATTTTGTATTTTGATGGTAGCTACACTCTATTTATGATTAGTAATATTGCTTCCGAGAATTGACTTTCGTCTTACGTTAAATATCTGACATTTCAAAGCAATTACTATGAAATTCAAGTATTCATTTGGAAGGTGTAGGCTAGATTAAATCAAATTATTTTTCTTTGGAGGACAGCTTCGTCATGAGCTAACGTTTTATATCCATTTTATTTGTGACTTTCTAGTATAAATCACTTGATTTCTTGTTGACTTTTTGTCTCAATATTTTTGATTTCTCGGAGTATGGCTTGTCTGCAGTAGACGTAGAGATGAGTAGTGACCGTATTCAGGAGTTTCTCAAGCACCTTATCTCATCACTTTTTCATAAGAAAACGTTTTCGCGCTATCATTCAGTACAACTTATGTAGGATGAAATTCAAGTTGTGCAAACGTTTACTCGTGATACAGATCGTATCCGAAACATTGATAAGTAAAAGTTATTTCTTTTTTGTTTTGCTTACAGTAATTACGACCAACAACATGCTATTAATAGCCCATAAAACATTCTGCTTCTTGCTTATCGTCAGTTGGCTAGTCAGTCATACGAAACGTGCACCATGGTACAAATGTATATCGGTCCAAGTAACCACAACACAGCGATATGAAATTATTAAGATGAATTCCTAAGTAGCAGACGTGTTCGTAGTGATAGTAATACCAGTAAAGACTTAATGTCTAGAGAATATTATTATAAGTTTACATCTATGAATTAGGGCTAAAATAATTTTGGAACTCGGGATCTAAGGATAGCCCATGCGAAGATGCATGCACAACGTTGCTATCAATACTAAGCTACCTCATTTCAGAACTTTCATATTTCCTTTCCTAATACTTAATTAAGTTCACGAACAGAACAGATTATGCCAGACTAGATTCCAATAGACAGTTGTTTGCGCAACTAAAAGAGACAGTAAGAGCTCGAAAAGATAATGACACACTCCGATGCTTTTTTGTTGTCTCTCTCTACGATCCCACTAATTGTAGTTTGGGTTAAGCTCAGGATGAATTTTATGAGAAGCTATCTAACATTCCGAAAAGCTAGACGCTCCGATGTAGTAATAGTGGCCTGTGATTTTAAAACTCAATCAGTAAGCTACAACGTTGTACCAGGCACATGCATGCATCGGTCCAAATTGCCACACCTTATTAGCACAATAAGGTGAACGCCAAATTTATGGAAGCAGTCGCTTCAATGGTGACCTCAAGTGCCCTGGTACGGCCGTGAGTGGGGAGAGTCAACTCTCCCTCTTGAAATACTTTCACATGGCCACATGCATATAACCACTACCAGGAAAGTCCTACTCATTTCCTTCTCGTGGCAGGGGTGTTTTTTACGAAATTGAGAGGACAAAAAGCGAATGTCTGGCTCTTTAACCGGGTTGGTGGACACAGAGATTCTATCTAGAAAGGTTGAAAAACTCTGATTCCAAACGAATGGTGTACATGGGCTCCGGGATCCTGAGGGATGATGAAGTTGAACAAAAATAGCGATAGTGGACAGCCTTGATGGACACCACTTGTGGTTGCGAAATCAGACAAAAGTTCGTCATAAGCTCTGACTCGATTGATAGTGTTCGAGAAAAGAGCCTTCACATGGTTTATATACTTCTGAGGTGCACCTTTCAGTGACAGACACTACCAGGAAACCTCTCGGTCTACAGAGTCAAATACTGCTTTTAAGTCATGAAAAACTATCATTGTAGGACGCCGATGAGCACTCCGGTGTTCTGAAACCTGATGAATGGTGAATATGTGGTTGATGCAGCCACGACCAGGTCTAGGACCATCCTGATTTTCTTGTGTTTTTAGTTCACTAGTCTTTGTTAGGCGCCCGATAATAATTGAGTCTAGCGTTCTAGATGCTACATTAGTCAAATTAACCCCATTTATTTATTTATTTGAACACAAATATTGGTACAAGAATGCTTACCCCTTTATGGTTATCACATGATTTTGACCCTTATATATTGGGACAATCAGTGATTGCGACCAGTCAGACAGGATTACGTCCAACACCCAGATTTTAGCTAGATTATTAGCCAGCCTAATCGCTAAAATTGGACCACTATGCTTAAAGACCTTTGGAGCCAATCCATCTGAACCAGCTGCCCTTCCTCGTTTCAGATTAAGTATAGCTTTTTGAACTTCAGCTAGATTCGGGGGACCTACTTCAAAGTGCCATTCAGGCTGCCTGGAAATGGTGGGTAGTCGTAGAGTAGCTGAAGGCCATCCTGAACTGTTCTCTAAAGTGTTCCGTCCATCATTCTAAGCGTCTGGGCTGAGAGCAGATAAGAGTGTCATCTTTTCCCTAGGTCGCCTCACTCACACTTGACTTTTTAGTTCCAGTTCTTTATTAGACTGAGAAGCTGTCTTGTGTTACCTGCAGCCGCTGCCTTTTTCATCGCTTTGACAGTTAGGTAAACTAGGCCAAACTGAAAGTCACTTAGGCGAATCTTACAGCGTTGCGGTCTAGCGAACAGATAATGACGACCGACTGTGTCTAAGAAGCTTCCATAGTGTTGTTCTGTCCACGATGTCAAATGCCTTTTGGTAGTCAATGAAGTTGATGTAGAGTGATGAATTCTATTCAATTGATTGTCCCACAATGATCCGTAGAGTTGCGATTTGGTCTGTACACGATCTATCCTTACGGAATTCAGCCTGTTGGTCACGAAGTTGGGCGTCTACGCAGTCCTTCATCCTGTTTAACAATACCCTGTTGAAGACTTTTCCCGGTATTGAGAGAAGAGTGATGCCCCTGTAGTTATCACACTTGCTGAGATCGCCTTTCTTTGGTATTTTGATCAGAAGTCCTTCTTCCCAGTCTGTTGGTACTTGTTCCTCATCCCAAATCTTATTGAAGAGAATGTGGAGTATCCTTGCAGTTACCGCTACGTCTGCTTTTAGTGCCTCTGCTGGGATGTTGTCTGGTCCTGCTGCTTTGCCACTCTTGATTTGCCTGATGGCCATGCTGATTTCTTCAATTGTTAGTGGGCCAACATCGATTGGGAGGTCCGTGGGTGCTGCTTCGATGTTGGGTGGGTTCAGTGGAGCTGGTCGCTTCAAGAGTTCTTTGGAGTGTTCTACCCACCTGTTTCGTTGCTCTTCAATGTTGGTGATTACCTCACCTCAATGATATCTACTCTCAACTTAAACCAAAAGGTTAAGAAGAATCAGTGGATTTCACCGGCATCCATTGAATTAACAGATGCTCGTCTGGTCCTGAACACGATAATGTTCGGAGGCAGCCTAAACGTATGTTGACCAAAGGGAGGTTAGACGAGGTTCAAACCTGAGACTTTGTGACTATAAGTCGAACATATCAACCACGTAGCCAGCATTTCACTTAGGTGTGCATGTATGAAATCATATTGGCCGTCAAAGTCTTGATATTCTTATGGTTTAAAATCGTTAACAATGGGACGTATAGTCACATTTGTAACGTTAGACTTAATCTGTGAGACAAAGTTTGAATACTTTTGACCGCATTTATCCGAAGTTACGGTGTTGCTTGCTAATAATATATAGTACCCTATATTATTGTCAAACATTTAATAAATAATATGGTTAAAAAACCTATACTATATTCAGTTGCTTCTGCTTCATTGTCAAAGTATAAAAACTCAACGTAGAAACAAACGAAATTTTATTTATTTATTTATTTATTTATTTATTTGAACACATAAATATTGGTACAAGAGAGCGCCAATATATATGCGCCACACAAAACAATGGGAATTCGAAGAGAAGTAGAAAGAAAAAAAACTAAGGAACGCAAAAGAAAGAGAGAGTAATGACGAAGAGGTACAATCAGAAGAAATCTTTCAGTTAAGGAAGATACAACCACTTTTTATGAAGAAAGTAAAAGAAGGTTACAGCAGGATCGCCACTGGCTTCTATTCTGAGCCATATCTGATAACGTCTCTAGCCACTGTGTAGCACCATCTCTCGGACCCCAGCCAGGGAGTCGTGAAGGACCGACACAAGCCAGTCCTTTGCAGCTTTCTTTCATGCCACGACACCATGTCATGCACTGACCACCTCTCCGCTTCTTCCAACCAGTCCCAGAGTCGGCAAATAATGCACGACGTGGAATTCTCTGGGACGACATTCGGAGAACATGTCCAAGCCACCGAAGTCGGTGTTTCAAGATGGTGACACCAATTGAGTTATCATCTCTGTGCCCGAACACACGATGCCGAACCTCTGCATTACTGACTTGGTGTTGCCACTGAATGTCAGCAATCCTTCGGAGACAGCGATGATCGAACACAGAGAGTCGCCTAACGTCCTCAACTCGGAGAGGCCAGGTTTCACAAGCATAGAGCAAAACTGCTCTCACCGACGCGTTGTATATCCGACCTTTTACAGCCAGACTAACATCACGAAGGCGCCAAAGGTGGCCCAGATTGGCATAAGCCGCTCTGGCTTTCACTATTCGTGCATTGATCTCATCACTCACACCCCCACCAGCACTTATGCAGCTACCCAGATACACGAACTTCTCGACTACGTCTATCTGCTCACCATCCAGGGTGAGTACAGGATTGGAATCCTGCCAGTCTTGTAGAAGTACTTTGCACTTCGAAGGTGCAAAGCACATACCATACCTACGGACATTGATTGCCAACTGATTAAGTGCGGACTGCATGCCTTGGGCATTATCGCACAGTAAGACAATATCGTCCGCATACTCAAGGTCGAGAAGCCTTTCTCCAGGCAACAGATCCACACCACCATTACTTACATTCATCAGAGCTGTTTCCAGAATGTCATCAATGGCAAAGTTGAAGAGGAATGGTGAGATTGGGCAACCCTGCCTAACCCCACTGCTCGAATGGAACAATGGAGAGAGGTGGTTGTATGCCCTCACTCTGCCTGAGGTGTTTTTATACAGGGCTTTTAGGATGTTAATAAACTTCTCAGGCACACCCTTCTTCAATAGACAATCCCAGAGTGCAGTCCTGTCCAACGAATCGAAGGCAGCCCTGATGTCAAGAAACACTACGATTGTTGGCCTTTGAAAAGTATGGCGGTGTTCTAACATTTGGCGGAGGGTGAAGATATGATCAATACATCCTCGACCAGAACGAAACCCAGCCTGCTCCTCTTGAGTCAATCTTTCTCGGGTTTTGAACAACCTACGAAGAATGACGGAAGCCAATAGCTTGGACGCAATCGGAAGTAAACTTATCCCCCGATAGTTGTTACAAGAACGACGTGAACTCTATGTCCATGGAAACAAACGAAATATGGTCGGGCTTTCGGCATGAATCATATCAGAAAACGAAGGTAGTATAAGTGGCTTAATTTCTCAAAGAAGTGAGAATCAGTATTTGTATTCAGCGAATGTAATTAATTAAAGTCGATCATTGTAACACCTGATATCCATTTTCATTTGTCTCTATAACTCAACATAATGTTACCAGACCTCAAAAAATGGCTCATAACAAAATAGATTATATGTACTTATTTACTGAGTTGCAACATATTGTGTATGCAACTAAACATTTTATTCACTCTTTGTTGATCGGTTTCATTATTGCATCTATGCAACTTATTCGTTTATACTGTTTTTTAAATATTTTCACTTGTTAATAGAAATGGGGTGTAAATTATGATCCTGCTGGACCTGTTCCTCCGGGTGATGATATCAATGCTCCTGATTTGTATATTCCTTTAATGGCTACTATCACATACATACTTCTGAGTGGTGTTATATTTGGATTTCAAGGTCGTTTTTCACCAGAGTACCTTGGGATTTTATCTAGTGAAGCTTTTGGCTGGTTATTGCTTGAAGTTTTATTATCTCTTTTTGCAATCTATATCCTCAATATTCAGAACAATATTTCTTATTTAGATATAGTTGCCTATTGTGGTTATAAATTTGTCAGGTTAGTACTTCAATTTATTTATAACTAATCGTGTTTATATTTCTCTGTTAATAATCATAGAATTTAATAATGAACTTTTAACAAGTTGTTTGTTTTAATAGTACACTAAGATATCCCATGGTCTCAACGCCCTGAAAAATACAGATACATTAGCCAGTAACCGAAATCACGTGTAGCACATTTAAACCCCTATCAGCGAAACAGCAACATTTAGATATTCTATGTGGTTGTTTGAATGTTTAATAACAATCTTCATACACTTATGAAGTCCCCATTACATGAAATTTTGCTTGGTTAGTAAGTATTATCTTAGAAAATGTTGCATTTATTGTTCATCATACTACTCAGAGATTATAGGAATTTCACTAGGTGATATTCATTTACAACTATTCATTTTATGACAAAACTAACACTCGTCTTTTCTGTTGACTTATAATTTTAAAAAACACGGCTAAACTTGTATTGTTAAATCGGTATACATAAAATTTATTTTGACATTTCAAAGTTAAGATTATCGAAGTTATTGAAAAAGACACCCGAGGTCCACTACTAATATTAATATCTTAGTACTAAAAGTGAACATAATTGTAAAGATGATTGCAGTTAAACGTAATGATGCTTACTATTCTCATTTCGGATATAATATACACGCGTATCTATTGGTTTGATAGTTAAATCACTGTTTTAGTAATCTCAAGTTGGTTGTGGATTTTGAACCCTTAGTATTCTTTCATTCAAGAGGACTGACTTATTGGTAAAACTCACACTTTAAGATGTCGACAAAATGTGTATATTAATATATTTATATAATCAAACGAAGTAGTTTGGGAAACAAGTATTTCATTATGAATTGTCAGTGTTTTGCAGTAGGTATATGATAACTCAACATTTGTTTGTCTTGTGGAAATTACCAGTAAGTTTCCTCGGTTTCTCATCGAAATCTTGCTAGCTTTTCTGTTCTCGGGATGAACGTGAGACCAATTGTTTTCAAAGTCCTCGTCATTAAGTTTGTCTTCAAACAATCAAAATCACTGTCGTTTGTTTAAATTACCTAAATCTGTTTAATATGAATTCGTGGTATGAAGTAATGTTACCGATCATTTTACCGTGTCCTCACTCGTTGTTTGCAACTGTTCTATTTTTTATAGCATGATAGTTGTATTGATTAGTTACATTGGTTTGGATCGACCAGGCTATTATTTTAGTTTACTGTATACTAGTTTAGCATTGGCATTTTTCCTCGTGAGTTCACTTTTAGATTTTTGTGTTAAAGTTTTTGTTGTAATAATCTCTTCTATTGATCTCCAGCGGATAAAGTCTTATTATAATGTGCTACTCTTATTAATGTGCCAACATTAACTTGCACTTTCTATTAATAATGATTTGAATAAAATTAAACATGATTGAAACTAGCAAAAATTATATTTCTGTGATTTTAAACAATTTAAAAAGGAAAATTGGTTTTTTTTTAAATATTAGAACTTACTCTTCCTAACCGTCACGATGCGTTGTTCTTGAGATTTTATATAACAGTATCTAGTCATGTCACAACTTGTAAATCCATATAAATGAATGCTAGGCAAACCTCTTACACATGCCACATGATAAGGTATGTATTTGCATCGTTTCCATTTGCTGTACGACATCAACTCATTTAAAAGAAACCAGCAAAGCCAAAACTACGGTTTTTGAATTTTTAAGTGAATACGTCATTTTATCTGTTTAATCAATTTAAAAAAGTTTAGTGCTCAAAAGTCAAATATAAAATACATAGTCTTCTGACGAACTTGAGCAAAAATTCAAGCACTTTTTGGATGCATTTCTCTCCCGTGCTAAATACAAGATGTTGTTTTAAGACTAGTCTGCATCAAACTATTAGAAGCAAAGGGGTTGCGCGTGTAGATCACTCAACTTATTTTGGGTTGGTGCCCGATGAAATCTCGTCGTGGATTCAGAAATTTTTGTTATATTTTCTCAACTTGGGCCGCTTTTAGCGCAGGCGAGATATTCATCTTCCAAGTAGAGGATATGTATACCGGCCAATAGTTCGCTTTGTTTTAATTTGTGGCTGTGAAAAATGGTCTTCAAAATAGAGAATATACGTTGGTTACTGGTATTTAGTCATAAGTACCTCTGAAACATTGTTCGTATATGCTTGGGCTACCGAGTGAGCAACGCTTATTTTAGGCTTAGGGTACTAGTTAAGGATGGGCAATCGGTTGTTGAAATAGCGAATCTTCCCCAACTGAAATGATTGGAATATGTATTATATACGCTGAACCACCTACCTTGACGTAAAAATTTGTCTGTAGTCGAAGTTATGTAAAAGAAATCTGGAGATGGCCAAACCAAAGTTAGTAAGTGAAGCGATTGATCGTTGAAATGAGTAGTGAGGGTCCGCGGAGTTATCGAAAGTAATCGTTAAAAACTTGAGATAACATGGCTGAGATGCATTCACTCTTCGTCTTTCCTTAAATTTTAAATTTCTAAACCATCTCAAACTTTTTTTATCATCCTATAATTCCATATTTTCTAGAATCGTATCTCCTATCCCTAACCTTTTCTGTTAGCACTAATACTGTCACTACTTTTAATACTTTAGTATTCGTCTTGACAATTCTGTCAAATTGTACTAATGCAGTACGACAACTTGAACCAATGCACTTGTGTCAGTTCTGCTCTGCGTTTGATTGACTAACTGAGAGGTCAATTATCAACCTCCAAACACTTATACAACTTCAGCATGTATGAATTTATTTATTCTGGGACTAAAAAGAACTGTCATTCAACACTGAATTTATGATTTTTTTAATGTATACGTCGAGAAAGTTCTATTGTACAAAGAGAGAATTACTACAACCACCATCAAAAGAGTACAGCCATCTATAAACAATTGTGTTTGCAAGATATTCCACATCCGTCGGTCGAACATCATTAGCAACAATCTACTGTGACAAAGAACAAATCGACCTTTAGTTGAAGAGTAAGTTAAGAATAGACGTTGGAGGTGGATAGGACATACACCGAGGAACTCATCAAACTGGATCACGAGACAAGTGATAACTCGTTATTTTCAAGGTAAAAGGAAAAGAGGCAGATCAAAGAACACATTGCGCCGGGAATCTGAGGTAAACATGAAGGGAATGAATAGCGATTGACGAAAATTGGGAAGCAGAGCCCAGGACAAAGTTAGTTACGGAATTTTGTTCGGCAGTCAGTGCTCCATGAACCCTAACAGGCGTAAGTAAATGATCCATTAAGCGTAAGAATAAGTGGTTCATAATTAAATATTCAAGTTAGAAAACACCAAATACTAAGCTACGAATATATTTTTTCTAGGCACTCATTTTATCCTCTTCTTCCTATACCACTGTCTGTTGCAGTTTGTAAATTTACCGTTTTTTCTTTCATTTTAATTATTTTCAGATAAGAAGCCTCAAACTCAAAATCCTTCCACATGTTGAAGCATATCCATCTGAGTGTAATAAACGCCGATTATATTTACTACTTCTGATTGCATTCACTCAACCATTTTTGATGTGGTGGTTGACACGTCGTGTTATCCTGTAGTAATTGTAAACCGTGATGTTTTTTCCTTTGCTGTATTTATCATCACCATCAGATATGAAAAAATTAAATATAGTCTGAATAACATCATTTGCTTCCTAATTTGTGTATAAAAAATGTTAAACAGTTTTTATCTATTGTATAAGTCACATTCTTTTTTTTTAAAGTATTTAAATATTCGCTTATTCAGAAAAAGATTTTCCAACGACGAATTGTCGTTACATGTCTAATGTAAAAGTGTTAAGGATTGTAAAAGATTGTTTCTGTGAGTTTAGTCGTGCAACTGTGTCTTCGCTTTCCATCATATGCATGTGTTCAATGTTACCAGCTATTTGTCTATCAATATAATTTAATTATTTATTGTTTATGTGTATTTTGTTTTAAATTCTATTATTTTATTCAATAATTTACTGCAGTTTATTAACACAGTTCAATTTACTGAATTGTTTACACTTTTTAATGGTAGATAACAGGCATTAAACGTCTTCAGTTTTTATATTCATCCCATTCTGAAGTTTGTTACCATTGCAACAATAATAATTATTGTCAATGATTTTATAATGTAGGCAATCATAGATTAGTGATTTTATCATACCTGAAATAATTTAACCTCATACTGACGAATCTAAGATTACTTTTAATGTTTACTTAAAATAAGAGACAGTTTAATAAATATCTATCATTTACTTTATTTCACATTTTGATCATTATTACCTTCATTAAAGGAGGTTGTTTTACTAATTTGAAGGATGTTAAATAAATCAACCTAAAAATTTTTGTGTAAATGATGAAAGTATACGATACTGACGACTTCGGTCAACTCGAAAAATAGCATAAAGACTTTATACTTATGAGTAAACAACCGTCAAAATTGAAATTCTATTGTCATAAGACTCATTCATTTGATAAAGACCAGTTTGTGTCCATGACTTTCGATTCATGTACATGTGCTTTCTCACTATCACAATATTTATGTACAGAATCATTGAAATGGTGTTATGAGATTACTACTCGATAAACAAAATTCTTAATTATTTCATCAATCAGTTTATATGATTCAAGAGTGTTTGTCATTCAGTACATCAGTAGTGACTGGATTTAATGCAGAAAAAGAGGAACGGACCAATTATTATTAAAATTATTCTTCATATAATATCTGCATCATGGTTAAGCACTTTTTGTAGTTCCTCTTCCCATTATGCTGTTTGCACTGTTGATGGCATCAATTCTAAATTGTGTGCAATAAAGGAAGGTACTTTTTACAAAATTCTTCATGAGTTGGATACAAATTGGCACTACTTTTAAATTTTGTTCAAAATGCCTGAAGTCTCTAACTTTATGCTGATTGACTTCTCAGTATAGTGTAGTTTTTCTGTGGATTTTATCTACCCCTGAAAAATAGGTATATGAACTTCAAGTCTCTTGAGTACTCTGCTTTCTACTCGAACAGTTACAAACGTTTTTGAATGAAACTATAGATCCCACGGTTATTTGAGTGAAGATGTTACACAACCACTTAAGTGATTTTATTTTTGATTGATGCAAAACATATAAATACTAGACTCGTTTCTCTTCAGTGTATTCATAAGGCTCACATCTTTGTAGTATTATCACTTAATTATTCTGTATAATGTTTAATACTTCATTAGCTTTTTTGTCGATTAATGTACTCATTTTATTCGTCATCACAAAAGTGAGTTCAATAAAAGTGTAGTTAGTATGTTGTAACAAAAATTCGTTGCATAAGTATGTGATAAAAGATTGTTGTTCATACCACTGATTAATTATTTGAATGATTAACATTTAACTAGACAGAAGTTACACATAGAAGAAAAAAAAGATTCTCATGTTGTCACGATTATATGTCATGTGGATAAAGAAGATAACCAGATAGGCTGCTATACATATGTCCATGTAAACGATAAGCTTCATCTCTACATTCCAACCATATTTGATCATTTTTGTTTAATTGAATAATAGCTTGATTAGTTACAGTTGCCCAAAACGTACTTTCACACCATGAAAGTAACACGACTTTGCCATTTTGTAGTAATCGTACACCTGCCTAAATATATTTTTATAAAAATTTATTTGCAGATAGACAAAAGTTACATATGATAAAAAGTAATTTAACTAGGTTATAATTGATAGATAACTAGTATACGGTTAAAATTTCTGAACTTGAAAAATTATATATCCCTTCACCGAATTAATTGAAATCATCCTAGCACTCCTTTCTGAGCATAAAATCCGAAAAATGAATTCAGATTTTAGAAAGTCCATTTTTTATAGATATAAGACTAATTACTTTAAAATCTAGTTTTATGCGATGAACTTCATGTAATATAATCGATTAGTCATGTTTTCAGTCTTATTTAGCCTTATGTATTTGTATGGTTTGCTTCGCGGCAAATCTACGGATTTTGTGAATACTGAACTGTCAACTGTTTGGATACGGTTCGAGGTTCTGCTTTACGTACTTTGATGTAGGCTGTCTTATCGTATTTCCGAGCCCCGCAAAATTTTTGCTTCAAAACCTTGGATGCCAAAATATTGTAGGTTGCTGATTTGCACTTAAAATATCATTTTGAAACCCAGATAAATTGATATCCAAATAGCAATTCGCTAAGTACGGATAATTGGTTATAGTCTAAAACTCATAACAGTAACCCTTCTAGCTGTTTCATTAAATGGCATGTAACTTGATATCCGAGTTATCATCAATTTTTTAATTATTACGAACGCTTCACGACTGGCAATATATTCGAGGTCTGGTGTATTCTGTTAGTGAATTGCGATATACAAAATGAACTGAGATGATGTGAGGTCTTACTTGGCTTCCTTCAGCTATCTGAATCCCGTTTCTTACTTACGCCTGTTACTCCCAATGGAGCATAGGCCGCCGACCAGCGTTCTCCAACCCTCTCTGTCCTGAACCTTTCTTTTCAGTTCTGTCTCCATTCCTTGGCGTAATGTGTTCTTTGGCCTTGAGGATTCTCGTTCCTAATTAGCTGCAGTTTGGTGACATTTCAGTGATTATTGAATTCATTATTTCTTAACTGATGACTACAGGCAAAATACTTGATAAATAAACTATCATTATGAAAATAAAGTGTTGTGTGCCTCAATTTTGTGCTTGTAGTACATTTGAGTTTAAGGACAATAGCTATTTCGTTCTGAGGTTGCTAGTGTTTAATTCAAGTTGATTTATTTTAAGAATTGATAGCAGTCGAAAAACCATTGAAATTTACTATCTTAGTTACAGATATCATAATTATATAATGTAAGAAACCATATGCAAAAGATCTATATAGACTCCGAAACTTATGACAATAGACGATAACTTACGAGAGGATTTCGAAAAATGTCACGCGGATGGTATTTTGATATAATACTTTAAGAGTGTAAGTTGTGTGCATTTCTCTACTATGTGCTGCTCATTCATATTGACTGGCAAACACTACCTAATACAATTGAATTAATTAATCTGGATTTCTTCACCAAAAGTAACCCAATATCCACGAAGACTGAATGATTTATCAATCTTAGACAGATATTTGTGAAACAGCCGGATTCATTTAATGTATAAGCGGTGAATGTTAACTCTTGTCTGTGGTAGTTGACATTAAAGATGTGTGGATAACAGTCATGTCCAATAATAAAGCGTCGTGTGTTTCAAGATTAGGACACCTACTAACAAAGAATGTATATATTTTGTTCTGTGTATCACTATATCCAGTTTTATTTTAACTGGTCCTTATATTGTGGAAGCATTACTACGCCACTAACACTTACTAAGATGATGATAGCACTAAACAGTATTAAGTTACGTGAATTATGCAAAGTGCTCAACGAAATTGTGATAAAAACCTAACTTCTGACATATCTTATTTCTCAACTAATAACAGGAATTTAAGTCGTTTTGATTGCTTTAAATACATATGAACTACTGGCAAATTTACATCGTTTATTGACCTGAAAAATAAGTCAAGTAAATTGAACAAATTTAGATAGTTGTTCTTTAGTTTTTAAGCAATTGAAGATAATTCTGCTATGATCTCTGTTCTTTCTTTACGCAAAGTGAAATGCTTGAAATTGAATATTTCATTCATAATTTCAAGATGAAAACTAGAGAGTTTATCTTGTATTTCCAATTTCACTATTACAATAAAACAGTCAACTATTAGAATATATGTATAGAATAAAATGAATCATAAATGTTTTATTATTGTTCAAATAGCCAGATTGTTCTAATGTTCTTATTCTGGTTGGAAGATTTAGAAACTGTTTCGATACTGCACGTACCATGTCTAAAAAATAACGCAGTAACTATCACCATTTATTTATCATTTAAATAGGTTTTTTTTTAAATAAAACTAGTATCACAGTTCATTGATATGGTTCTTTAATTGAACTAGGTAATCTACTGTAATTAGCACATTATTCGGTTGGATTTTGTTCATCAGAAACTTTGTACACGTCTCACTTAGATCAGTGAAAAAAAAAACATTTAGTTCATACGAAGCTTAAAACTTATAAGAGTTATGTAAATTACCCAAATAATATTCTTTTTGTCGTATCGCTAATGAAAAATATCCTCAGAATTAACTTATTTTCGCAAACCCCATACCACACAGTAATTGTGTCCCCTCTAATCATTTACGTGCAACAAGATTTCCTAAGTCATAATAACAAGTTTTTGATTAGTGGAGTTCAAGAATGTGAACACTGAAATAACTACCAACTCATATCATGACCTTCTCACAGTGTCACAAGTTAAAAACAAGTCACTAAATTTGAAATCAGTTATCTACAGATAATTCGCTCTCCGCGTTGCACTAAACATTGATCCCAAATCAGAACCAAACACAGCTATCCATTTTTACTAATATTTTAACAGTTCTCCAGTTGATATCATTCCTTATTAAAATCTGTCTTCAAATTTCATCTTATCAACAACATAACATTCCTAGTAGATTATCTTGTTGTTTTAATTTAGTGGTAAATTAATTATACTCTGATTTTGATTATTTTTACATCAATTCCTTTTGTAAAACTTTTCGTTTCAAAAAAAGAAAAGAAGGTAGAAGTTGACAGTTATAAGTATTAAAAATAAAAATCACAGAAATGAATTTTATCCCAAAAATTTATCTCATGCAATGAGATTAAGTTTATTTCCAATGAAAAATGTAAATATGTATGTGTGTATACTTGTATTCGTTTTCTGCCTTTTTTTCAACTTAGAATTTGATAGCTTTTAACACACAACAAAGGCATTAGTCAAAATTTGTCATTTTATTGTTTATCTTACAGGGGTAAATCACACATATAACATTAAACAAAATGGAACATATATATGTGTGTGTGCATTTTGTATGTATGTAAACATATGCAAATGCATTTTTATACTTATAAAGTCTGTTGAAGTAGGAAATACAATTTTATTTCACTAGAACATTTATTTAACCTATAAATATTGTCAATGATAAAATCAGTGATTGTACAATGAATAGTCAACCAATCTCGTTATTTGGCTATGCGCATATTGATAGGGATGAATAAACAAGTTTTTGTTTGTAATCCTTTTTTTTAAAACCGAAACAGAATAAATATGATTCTCTTAAGCTTTTTAGTTTATCTTGAATAAGAATCTTTTAATCAATATTATTATTATTATTATTATTATTATTATTATTATTATTATTATTATTAGCTCTACACTTTATAACCATGTACTTGTGTCAAATTTAATTTTCAACAGAGTGAATATGTTCCCTTCGCGTGATCAACTTTCTTTTTTGTCTCTTTTTTTTTCTTCTGAAAAAATACTTAAAAGTTTGTTTTAAATAAAAAAAGACAAATTTTTACAGATTGGGAAAAAATGTTTAGTATTAAAACTAAATATTTCCATTCTGTGAAAAAGATGACGAAAGAAAGAAAGATTTTTAGTAAAGTTCAGTTGGAAAAAAAGAGACCAGTTTTGACATGATATTATTCGACAGAAAAATCCTTACAACTTATATTGATATAGAACCTAGGAATCTAATAAATAGTACGCTATGAATGTAAATCATCTAACAATTACATTTAGTCAAAGAGACAAAAATTCTAAAATAATCCTCGTAACAGATTTTTTATTATAATCAAAGATGGATAGTGGGTAGTAGTAGTAGTAGTGTAATCAACGACGCGCGTCTCGTCCCATTTGGGATTCGTCATCTGGATTTACCTGTATCCCAGAGTTGATACTCACTCCAGGACTCGAACCTAGTACCGTTCGCTTCAAACTCCATCGCGTCATCTACTTAGCTACTGAGTTCTGATAGCCACTAGTTTGTGCGATGAGGTTAAGTTTAAATTCGTTTTGTATTGTTTAAAAGATTGATTATTAGCGGTCCTAAACATCAATAGGAAGATTCAAATAAACAATGCAAAATGAGATTAAACTTTTTATTCTCCTTCGGTGTAAGAGACTAGCTTACTAATTTATAGGTTTACATCTCTTTAATGACCCAGTCTTAAACTCAAAATAAGTTAGAAAAATAATTCACGATGAAACTTCACTAGCGTAAGTTGGGTTTTGATTTTAGCTTGCAACTGAGGTTGGATTTCCTAAACTTAGTACATCCTGCAGAATAGAGAATGCAATTGATTTACTTTATCTTTTAATAAGCCCTTCTAGAAGTTGTTCTTTGATTCCGTAAGTAATTTTGAAGAAAAATCTACTTATCTCCAGCTATCAATGAGCTAATGAACTGGTAAACACATGTTGAATTGGTATTTTACGATAGTTTATTTTAAATTTGAAAGCATGTAAACGGATTATTATATTGCACTATAAGATTTACTGTGAGAAGTAACATTTAGAATTACCACTCCAGATACTGTAAGTAACTCGCTAGAACTATCTTCTTTGAAGTCAACATTCATAAATATAATTTTCTTCGATACTACGTCTTTAATCCGTGAGAAGTGTTTTTGCCTCATATCTTCCTTAACAAATCTTAATGAAAACCTATTTTTTATTTGAAAGTGGACTTAATCATGGTCTTTTAATTCTTTATAGTCTAACTGACAAATTGTAAGACATCATAAACGTATAGATTACGCGAAACTCCATTTTTTAATTAATAGAAGACTATCATGATTTTTTAATCACTTAATGTAGCTTATTTATCTGTCCTGATAAAAGAATATATAAACTGGATTATTTACTAAATACTGTATTGCCTGGTTGTATGAAAGTAGTTTAGTCTTTAAATTAAATCTACAACTGAAGAACTCCTGATTTGTAAGTGTACATATTAGAAATAAAAACAATATAATTTTTAAGGGAATATTGTGTTTAGATATTTTAAATCAGATTTAACGTAAACTTACAAGATCAAAATCTATGTGTTGTGTTTTTGATTGAAATTCCAGCTTATATATGAAAACTTAATCATTCTAATGTGAATATCTTTTAGATAATTTCTCAATGACAATGGAATGTAGTACTGAGTATCCGAAGTGAATATTAGATTTCATTTTATATTTGTATTTATAAGCATATATAGTGAAGTTAATACTACTATAGACTAAATTCTCTAACAATATTGACTCTTGTTCTTGTAAAAGCAAACCAAGTCCACTTATTCCGTTGTTTTTAACAGATCGTTGATTTCTATTTTTATCAATGAAATACTGGGATTTATGGAGATTATAGTATTTTCATAGTTGAATTTACGAATTAATCTAAGCTAGACCACTTTTGCAAACCTAGATGCACAGGATAGTTAATATTCATATATTGATGTATATTACTTAAAATAACATGGTATTTTCTAAAATTATTTTAGTCATAAAATTACATGTATAATTATTATATGAATGACTGCCAAGTTATAATGGAAATTGAATTGTGGTGATGTTCTGTTCTCCAAGCTTAATAGTTTCAGTATCATTGTAGACATCGTCAACATATATTTTATGTAGGTATGATTTTCAGTTAAACAATTTTTATCAGAAAACACAACACCGAAAATATCAACCTGTGTTGTTAATCTTCTACCTTATTACATGGTCATTTGCAAACCTTTTTTCTATTTGTATTACTTAAATTATATCTGTTTAACATATCAAAATAACTAATGAAATTCACCAGTGGCTTAGATACCATTAAGTATAGATAGGGGATAAATTTTGTTAAGACTAAATGTTATTTTCCTTTTAAATAAAAAGAACTTAGCGTGATATAATAAGGAGTTACACAAGTCTGATTTGTAGATAAAAGGAAAATTAATTAATGTAAATGAATTATAGTTCGGCTTTTCAGTATATTATCAAATGTAAATTTTAAATCTCATTAAGAAGAGTTGATGAAAGTTATTTGGATCTGAAGTTATCGAAAATATGACTAACTGGATCATAAGCATTGTAAATCTTCACTTCATTAAATGAAGTTAGTTCAATTTTTGTAGTTAACAAAAAAGAACATTAATGTGAAAAGTGAATAATTGTTTATCCTTTTACATAGATAACCGATTTTATTGTTTTAAATCCTTAATAAAAAGTAGATAGATACAGATAATAATGAAGTACATCTAACACTATTAGTAACACCTTATAAATGATTCTCATTTACACACATGTAAAATGATCTAGTGACAAATATGGTATGAAATCTTAAACTGAAATGATTTAAAATCAATCTGGTGAAATAGAACTATATAAGTAACAAAAACTATTGTATATGGATGAATCTCGCCTAAGTGGGAAATCATTTGAATGCTATTAGAATCAATTTACTATTTTAACATTTTTAACTATATCAAGGTTGTCAATTGTCAGATTGATATAGAAATGAAAAACCAGATCATTAAATAATCCACTTACCTTTTCATAACTTTGTGCTGATATAACTACAACAAATATATAAACACCCGAAACAGGAACGGTGAATATACCTGTAGTATTGTCATATCCGTTGCCAAGATTCAACATAACTGATTCAAAAATTAATTGACAATTTTTGTTCACTGGTTTATTCTCAATACTTTTTGACAAACCTGTATAAAAAGCTATTTGATATTCTACTGGTCTAGGAATCCATATAGGTTGTAATTTTGCTATAAAAAAAAGCAATTTGACGAATAAATAGATATTACATCAGATGGTTTTGTGGAGACTCGTATATTTTAAAGCGGATTTACATCGAGGACTGATGACTTGAGAGAACGGTTGAAAATCAAGGAACACTGAAACACTTAGCATTATGAACTTAACAACAATAAATATATACTCAATAGTAGCTATCTATCAAATGGAATTTCTCAAGCCCCACAGGGTAATTGTAACCAATATATTCATCTAAGTCGTATGTGAGACAACTACTCACAAACGTTAGATGATTGGATAACTGAGGCTGGAATGTTGAACTCACTGCATTAACATTAATGTCATCGCTGAAAGACATGAATGTTTGGGGATTAATAACATTCAGTCGAGAATTCCTGATTGTATTAAACACATAACACTGATTCAATCCATTATTATTATTATTATTATTATTATTATTATTATTATTATTATTATTATTATTATTATTATTAGTAGTAGTAGTAGTAGTAGTAGTAGTAGTAGTAGTAGTAGTAGTAGTAGTAGTAGTAGTAGTATCATTATAGTGTTCATGAAATCATTCTGATGAAAAGTCCTACATTACAACAGTTGTCTACTGCTTCCTAGTATCTAGTGTATCTAAAGCTGACGTAGGTTTACGATGAAACTTAATCTCAGAATATATGTAACTTTAAATTGATTAACAAAGCTAAATTATGATTCTATATTGTGAAAATATCTTAAAAGTTCAATCCATCAAGACTGTTGATTGAATATCCGTTGTAAAATGCAATTTCATAACACAGAACTTAAGTAACTGACTCATTTAAAAAAATTTGTATTAATATAATAATAATAATATAAAAATATAATATTATAAGAAGACGACCAGTGAAGCAGCAGCCTCAGCAGCAGTAGGTCTCAATATGCACGAAGGAAAAGCAAGATTCTCCGATACAACACAGCATGCAACAATCCAATCAAAATTGACGGAGAAGACTCGGAAGATGTAAAAACCTTTACATATCTCGGCAGCATCATTGATGAACAAGACGGATCTGATGCAGATGTGAAGGCGCAGATCGGTAAAGCAAGAGCAGCATACTTACAACTGAGGAACATCTGGAAGTCAAAGCAACTGACAACCAACACCAAGGTCAGGATTTTCAATACAAATGTCAAGACAGTTCTACTGTATGGGGCAGAAACCTGGAGAACTACGAAAGTCATCATCCAGAAAATACAGGTGTTGATTAACAGTTGTCTACGCAAAATACTTCAGATCCGTTGGCCGGACACTATTAGCAACAGCCTACTGTGGGCGAGAACAAACCAGATCCCAGTGGAGGAAGAAATTAGTAAGAAGCACTGGAAGTGGATAGGACACACATTGAGGAAAGTACCCAACTACGGCGTCACAAGACAAGCCCTCACATGGAATCCTCAAGGCCAAAGGAGAAGTGGAAGACCAAAGAATACATCACGCCGGGAAATGGAGATAGACATGAGAAAAATGAACAAGAATTGGATGGAACTAGAAAGGAGTGCCCAGGACAGAGTGGGTTGAAGAATGCTGGTCAGCGGCCTATGCTCCATTAGGAGTAACAGGCATAAGTAAGTAAGTAAGTTATAACTATTAATGCATTAAGACCATATAGGAAAATTACCCAATTTCACCTACTGGTTTATAGTAACAATACTGATTACTTATTCATCTAAATTGATTACTATAATTTATCAGGATAATATTTAATTATTTATAAACTAAATTTTGTACAAACAATCTTCAAGGGACCAAGAAATAATGACATACATTTGTATGGAATAACTAACTATACAATTTTAACAATATTCTAGCCTAGTTTTCATCAATAAATTTTAAGTTACTAAGATAAAAATGAGTGATAAAATACACATCTAAATCAGAGGTTGCACTTAAGCTAATTAACAATTTTTTATTTATATTATACTTTTAAATTAATAATTAACCTTACAGTTCTTAATGAAAACTAAACAAAAATCAGTCAAGTTTCCAGATAGAATTGAGTAAACATATCTATAATCAAATTTATTTAGTAGATAATGATGCTACCATTTTATTTTATTCTGTAAATAAAATGTATCATTAAGTTATAAACTTTATTTTAAAAGGAAATGCTTCTTGAAGTCAGTTCTAGTAAGAAGTCATGACCAGTGGAGTTCAACCGGGTCTGTTGTGAGATATCAGCTCACTGAAGACAATCGTGTACGGTGGCGCAATTTCGTGGATTAGTTGAAGTTAGACATTAACACCGTTGGATGACAGCTCAGTGGTCTAGTGGTTAAGCGCTCGCGCGCGAGACTGATAGATCCTGGATTCGGATCTCACGGGAAGAGCGGGATCGTGGATGCGCACTGCTGAGGAGTCCCATACTAGGACGAAACGGCCTTCCAGTGCTTCCAAGTTTTCCATGGTGGCTTAGCTTCAATTGACTCATGATTTCAACTATTGAAATTACTAAAGTCTCAACAAAACCCTCATCAACTATATCTTAGTAGTATAGTTCTAGTAATTAAATTATTGTTAAGAGTAGTTTTATAAAAGATATATATATATATATATATATATATATATATATATATATATATATACCTAGACTGATTTGAACATAATTATTGATTATGGTGTTAAATAATAGGAAACACTTGGTAAGATCCGGTGATGCTGATTAATAATACTTGTCTGTGACTTTAAGAAAACGTATACTTGCAGTTGTCCTGATGTAAATTGTTTACCGTGACGATTATTGATAATCGTTCTAATTTATTCCAGTTATTAAACTCAGTAAAATGCTATGTAGAGCCTGGTATGCGTGTAGATTGGTTCAAGTTACCATGTTCAATTAGTACAGTGGGATGAAACTGGTAGGGAAAGTTTCAGAATAGTAGGGATAGTCACATTATCAGTGGTAATAAAAAAGATTAAGTATCGAGAATACAATTTAAGAAATATAAATTAGTAACATATAAATACAAAACAAAAATTATGGGGAATTTAGAATTTCAGAATTTGGATAAAGATGTAGAATGGGTGCACTTATGCCGTTGCAAATGATTTTCAGCCAAATTATTCAACTTCTGTAACCACTAGTTAATATAATCACGCAGATCACAACCAGGTAGTACACATTTGTTGAAAGGGCCTAGTCCACCTGTCAGTGACTATATGGACTGATGCCGAGTTTTGGTTTGGCCTCCCATAGGTTTATTAGATTCTACTCCTATACGAGATAGCGTCGCCCGTCAAGGTAGGTGATGGATGGCATACGCTACACACGTCCCAAACACCTCAGTTGATCAAGGTATGCTATCTCTTCAATCGACTTCCCATCCATACCTAATATCCCATTCCTAGCCCAAGCATTGCTTACTGGAAGATAACTACCACTAACCTATGAATTTCCTCTACACTTAATGGCCGTGTTTCACGTGGACAAAGTAGAACGGAGCAAATTGCTAAATACTAAGATTGTCCTTTGTTTGAAAGACGGATATTTCACTAACCCCACAAACGACTCAAGTCGCCAAAAGTCAATCAAGCCTACTAAATACGTGCGTCCAACTACATCACGCCCTTTCATTAATCCAGGCGATGACGCAAGCTAATCCTGAAGTAACATCGTACATTTAGATGTTATGAATTGTATCCTAAGCCTATTGAGTCATTGAAAAAGAATTATAGACAATTTAATGAAGAAAATATTACCTCCGATCATGCGACTGTTAAGGCTACAGCTGCTCATAAATTACTGACCGAAGTTAACTATGTTTGAGGAATGGGGTAGTGACTGACTTGAAATCCCGTTTAAACAGCCATGCTCTATCGTGCTGGAATAGTCGTTTGTCATGTGAACGCTTTGTATGGCAAAAATCATCTACTCCACAAAAGCAGATAAACTGATAAATGCATATTAAGGTGGCCCAATGTGATAGTTATTCCGATCCACACTTGTTTTCTGTGTACAAAAGTGTCATGATCAATTCCATATTACACTTCGATCCTAGCACTATTTCTTACTTAATAAATCGTAAGTGTCATTTATTATATCAGTCATTATTTTTCTTTTCTGTGAAAAAGACGCTTACCGTTTACATTTCTACACTGATTAGTTCCTATGAACCCTAGAACTATAAAACAACATATATTAAGCACTTGAACCTTTAGAGTTTTTGATTGCTTTATTAAATTATGCAACATTTCTTTATTTTCATAGACTTTAGTATTCTATACTTAAGGATGTTTGGGCATTCTTGACAAATTTACTAAATAATGAAATACTTTTCTGTTTTACTATAGATTGTGGCACGTAAATTTAACAGTCACTCATTACTGAGTGATAGTTTATATGATGTCAGTTCAGTTCTTATTGATGGATGAAATTCACTGACTTTCAGTATAATCACTAGTCTAAGTTATTAAATATTGTATGTCCTCAACTAAGAAATATCAAAACGTTGTTTACAAACAATCGTCATTCTTCTTTTTATATTCTGTTTTTAACAAAATCAACAAATTATCAGAATTCAGGCATGATTTTTAAACTGGGTAAATCGCCAGGAATGGTAATGAGAGTTTCTTCTCTGAAACTCCATACAGCGATGAAAATGAAAATAATCGTCTAACATTATAGTTTTTGGAAGTTCATGAAGGCTGGAATTTCGATTGTAAATCTGTCAAATCATCACCAGGATAATTAACGTTTAAAATCTATACTTTTTCTTAGATGCAGGGTTTAAAAATTGGCTGGTAAAGGCGTCAAAGCGATTAAAAACCATGAAGAGCTAACATTTTTAAAGTTAGTTTTAAAAACATAAAAGATGCGACAAATCTTAGTGTTTTCTATAATTTTTGCTTTGAGATCTAGACGTTAAAATTGCAATTCATTTTCATGAATAATTTAATAGCACATCGATAAACTTTCTTTTAACTTACTTGTTTCTCCGCGAGGACCTGGTGGTCCAGGGTTTCCTTGTTCCCCAGTTGGTCCAGCTGGCCCTCGAGCTGATCGAACAGGTATGCGTACACGACCATATCCAGATGAACTAGCTCCGATACATTCTAGTTGTAATTGGCAAGTAGATGAACTTTGAGAAATATTTTTTTGAACATGTGATGTATTACAAGTCAGTAATAATAATGATAATAACAGAAAGGCTACAAAAATTACGTTTAAATAGTTCTTAGTCTTGTTCATTTTTTCGGTGATTTAATGAACTTTTAAAATAATCTTGTTTTAGGTTCCATGTTCCATATGAAGGAAATCCAAATCCTTTTCCTCATGTCCGATTGGTAGTTTGCAAGTAGCCAATCAGAATCTAGTTTTGAGCAATTTGTATGTTTGCAAGTAGGCTGCAAGGCGACCTAAAAAGTATATTAATCTACATCCTCTAAAGCTAATTAGATTCTGTATTCAAACTTTAAGAATTTATAGTACACATTCTAATCATGGAAGAGATCGTTGTATATGGTCTTTATTTCCCTTCTATATTATTGTAAGATTGCTTTATTAAAACCATGGGAGCCTAATAAATTAAAATGAGTGTAACTAATTAGTGAAAACAATCTATTTATAGTGCAACAATGATATGCAACGTACAGATCTAATTCCTGACTGACAGCTTGAAACAGTACTCTGTTTTGTTTTGGACGTACATAATATACCCTTCCATTTGCACAATGAGACCTCATTCTCTATATTGTCAGCGTTATAAGTTTTGGCTTCTGGTGGACGGTGGCACAACTTTGTGGATTGTTTGAAGTTAGACATTAACACCATCGGATGCCTGCTCAGTGGTCTAGTGGTTAAGCGTTCGTGCGCGAGACTGTTAGGTCCTGGATTCGAACCTCACGAGGTGTGATCGTGGATGCCCTCTGCTGAGGAGTGACACAATATGACGAAACAGTCGTCTAGTGCTTCCACGTTTTCCATGGTGGCTTAGCTTCAATCGACTCATGAATTTAACTATTGATGAATAGCTCATAAACATGACAGATAATTCAATGAGCCATTACAACCATAGTAGTTCTATTTACGAAAACCATGATGAATAAATATTGAGTATTTATTCACATCTCTCTATTTTGAACATTGTTGAGATATGCTGGTGAAATTGTGAAGGATAATTCAGTCGTGACTAAATTGTGTCCCAAGTAAAACTTATCGTAATTTAACATTTGTTTTTCATTCAAGCAGTGAAGCTTTGTATTCCGCTTATATCACCTCAACTATAGTAAATACTTTTTTGGTACGTCTTTTATACATATCGCCACAGTCATCTCAAATTTAAGTTACTGACTTGATTTTAGCAAAATGGAATGAACTTAACTATTTGCAACTTTATAATATATTAAGTAATATGATTTTCTGAAACAAATTCCCAGTCTCACTTAACTTCCAAAAACATTAAAGAATTGAAGTAGTGATTACTAATGACGCTTTAGATACCCGTTTCATCTTGTTTAGTAAAAATCTACTGGATGAACCTGTACTCCAACATCGACGTTTCTTCTGTTACGTCATTAAAAATTATTGGCTGTACAATTTCACTAATAATAACTGTAGGCATTTTAAATATTTGGCATTAGTTAGCTTTTCTGACTAATTTCCTTCTGGAAACAGTTTGTCGATGTCCCAAAAACCCTCAAACAAGAATAGTAATAAACAATAGATGTTTCTGGGGATTGAAGGTAATATAATTAACGATCATTCATATAAACCCACTAACTGTAACCATAATAACCAAATTGGACTACCCGTATTACAATTATGTATCGGAAAATATAACGAATATTAAACGACCTTGACAATTATTAGCCAATCAGAAGACAGTATAAAGTAAAAATTGCTCAAACACTTCTGATTGGCTCGTCCCTAAATTAGAGTCTCGCCGCAACCTTCCCTTCTCAATTGTACTTCTCACGTCTGGTTCTTTAATGTCATTATTGATATTGTTCCTACTTTTCAGTAACCTCTGTTGAATGGGTGGGAAGTAAAACTAGAAAACAATCGTTCCAACTGTCTCATTGTCTGAAGCTGACCGAATGTCCAACAAGATGATTCAGATTATTCCTACAGTATGGTCTGTTTCATAAGTACACAAGATTAGTCAATCGGTAGTCAAGATTATCTAAAATATGAGGAATGTTTGGAAACTTGATTAATCGCAATTAGATTATCACTTATCAGTGATTGACTACTTATTTTATGCATAAGACGGTCGCAAATATTGATATTCTTTCAGTACTTCAAACCACTTAGTTCAACTGGCAATGGTTTATAATTTCAAATAGTTGTTGCTATTATGTGTGCATTCTGAGAGGAGTAAATCGACGCTCCTTTTGGAGTACCTATCTGGACTCTGATCGTACCCTGGTCTGTGTCAGTCTTACCTTACTTTTCAGTGGCCAACGAAGTGACTGCCACCAAATGATTGATGTCAGCAACTTGGTTGCAACTTCTGTTGCTAGTAAGTATCTAACCGAGCTAGCTTTTAGGCTAGCTACCATTCCACCGAAAAGTATAGATAAGCATTGGTTGCAACTTCATGACGCCATCAAAATGGCGAGTAAAGCCGCTTGCGGCTTCGCGAAACGTCCCGCTTATGAGCACTAGGTTTCTTCTGGTTCCTCACAACTCATTGAAGCCCGTCGGTCTATTCCAGGTAACCGTGAGTTTGACCACAAACGACGACTGTTACGTAATGAAATTAAGCAAAAATTGCGTAAGGACCGAGAAGCCTGATGGTCGGAGCGTACTAATGAGCTGGAAGCAGCAGCTGCACCTGGTAACTACCGGAAGCTCTTCCAACTCATCCGAGCGACTGGCAGCAAGGAGGCTGATGTGCGCGAAACAACCTAAGAGAATGACGGGATGCCAAACACCAACACCCATCAACGTCTTGGACGATGGGCGGAATTCTTTGGAGGGCAGTTCAACTGGCCCGCTGCTTCGGCAACATCGATCAGGCTGTTCTGCCCTCCATAGTCGGTGACGACTGATTCACCAAATGAGGCGGAAGCCACAAGGAACTCCAACTCTTGAGACGCCACAAATCACCAGGCCTAGATGACTTACCTCCGGCTCTTTTTAAAGATGGTGGTGACTTTCTGACTAAGGAACCGACTGTGTTGTTTACTGAGGTCTGGGAGCTAGAGTGTGTATCGAGGTCATGGAATGAGTCGATAGTTGTCCCTATCTTTAAAAAGGGTTCACGTCGTTCCTGTAACAACTATCGGGGGATAAGTCTACTTCCGATTGCGTCCAAGCAATTGGCTTCCGTCACACTTCGTAGGTTGTTCAAAACCCGAGAAAGATTGACTCAAGAGGAGCAGGCTGGTTTTCGTTCTGATCGAGGATGTATTGATCATATCTTCACTCTCCGCCAAATGTTAGAACACCGTCATACTTATCAAAGGCCAACAATCGTAGTGTTTCTCGACATCAGGGCTGCCTTCGATTCGTTGGACAGGACTGTTCTCTGGGATTGTCTATTGAAGAAGGGTGTGCTTGAGAAGTTTATTAACACCCTAAAAGCCTTATATACAAACACCTCAGACAGAGTGTGGGCATACAACCACCTCTCTCCATTGTTCCATTCGAGCAGTGGGGTTAGGCAGGGTTGCCCAATCTCACGATTCCTCTTCAACTTTGCCATTGATGACATTCTGGAAACAGCTCTGATGGATGTAAGTAATGGTGGTGTGGATCTGTTGCCTGGAGAGACTTCCCAACCTTGTGTATGCGGATGATATTGTCTTACTGTGCGATAATGCCCAAGCCATGCAATCCGCACTTAATCAGTTGGCAATCAGTGTCCGTAGGTACGGTATGTGCTTTGCACCTTCGAAGTGCAAAGTACTTCTACAAGACGGGCAGGATTCTAATCCTGTACTCACCGTGGATGGTGAGCAGATAGAAGTAGTTGAGAAGTTCGTAGCTGCATAAGTGCTAGTGGGGGTGTGAGTGATGAGATCAATGCACGTATAGTGAAAGCCAGAGCGACTTATGCCAATCTGGGCCATTTCTGGCGCCTTCGTGATGTTAGTCTGGCTGTTAAAGGTCGGATATACAACGCGTCGGTGAGAGCAGTTTTGCTCTATGCTTGTGAAACCTGGCCTCTCCGAGTTGAGGACGTTAGGCGACTCTCTGTGTTCGATCATCGTTGTCTCCGAAGGATTGCTTCCATACAGTGGCAACACCATGTTAGTAATGCAGAGGTTCGGGATCGTGTGTTCGGGCACATAGACGATCATGCAATTGGTGTCATCATCTTGAAACACCGACTTCGGTGGCTTGGACATGTTCTACGAATGTCGTCCCAGAGAATTCCACGTCATGCATTACTTGCCGACTCTGGGACTGGTTGGAAGAAGCGGAGAGGTGGTCAGTGCATGACATGGTGTCGTGGCATGAAAGAGAGCTGCAGAGGGCTGGCTTCTGTTGGTCCTTCACGACTCCCTGGCTGGGGTCCGAGAGATGGTGCGACACAGTGGCTAGAGATGTTATCAGATATGGCTCAGAATAGAAGCCAGTGGCGATCCTGCTGTAACCTTCTTTTACTTTCTTCATAAAAATTGGTTGTATCTTCTTTAACTGGAAGAATTATTTCTAGTTGTACTTTTGCTAACTTAACTGCTTCTTCAGTTATTATTTCACTATTACATACCAATTTCTATTTGTTACTGTTCCCCTTTTTCCTATAAGCACCTTACATTCTTTATATCTTCACGTTCTCATTGTTATTGTATGACGTATATGTATTTGGTACCCCTTTGTATCAATATTTATGTGCTCAAATAAAAATTTTATTTAAAATAAGAAAAAGTCCATTATTCGACTTTATGTTGTAACTGATCGTTAATTAAGTCTGTTAACCACTAAATATCCTTACTACCTTAAGAGTTTTTGTATATATTAACAAATAATTAACCCCAAAACTCCCCACTGATTTGTAATCGATAGTAATCCAATCGTGCGGGGAATCAGATTGGATTATACAAATATTTTTATTTGTGAATTTAGTTATGCTGACAGTAGCATAATGTTGGACTTACATTTAACTTATAGTGTTAGCACAACTCTCAGAAATAAGGAACTCTCTTGAGATCCGCCTCAAAAAGATTGTACTTAAGAACAACAGTAAATGTATAATTGGTTGTTGTAGTACTGAAAATTTGATCGTTCCCTACATATTCAGAGATCATTGACCAGAATGTTTTCTATAATTTTAAAAATTATGCGTACAAACCCTCGCCAGACACTTTGATAATATTTTATCAGACAGAAATTTGAATATCCACCGTGACTCTGAAACCATTTATATAACAATATGATCAGTTGTTTTTTAAATATATTTGTTATCTTGAAAAAAACGTGATACGAATCTTAAAACTGATCAAAAATGAACCTTGTTTTTAATTAACAACAACATGAGAAAAATATCTGGTTGTTATTTGGAAGTACTGTACACTATAAATGAACAACAGAAGTCTATATTACTAAGGACAACTGAAAACAATTCTACCGTTCCTGTCTTGCTTCTGACAATTTGCAAATATCATCCAAAGAAACGTTCTTAACCAGACGACCCATACACAGACCCTAAAAAAGAAATGGTAAACCATCATAACTGATAGAAAATTTGTGAAGTCCACTGAAACATACTCGTTATGCTGTTCTGATGATATAAATTGCCGTGTGAGACATGTTGAAACAACATATTCATTTTTACCGATAACTGCAAGTTGATTTTCCTACCAAATGGAAAGCGAACTACGAAAACACCACAGAACCCCCTATATTTACACCATTATGATTTTAATAAAAGCACGCAAGTCCAAAAAATATATTACTACTATAAAAGGTGAAGTCGATCAATGCAGGCTGACTGACAAATTCCCACTAGTTTCGGGAATGAAATTTTTAATTCGGAAAGATTCAAAAACAAAAAAACTAATCAGTTTAGTCTGACATAACTAGCTGAGAACACGTGTATAGTAGCCAGAAGCACTAAAGATTAACACTTACGCTTCTGAGGAAGGCCAATCAAAACAAGGCAATGGGAAGAATATGAGAGAATACGAACTCTTCTGAAATAATATTTATTAAATAATGCCTACTATCTTAGAAGCCTACAAATGTAGAAATAAGGTCAGAAGGTGATATTGAAATTATTGTGATGACTTTTCTACACTTCACGTAGTTTGTTAGTTAGTTATAATCAATGCAGAACCTTGTACAGACGTGTATCACATTACTTTTTCTTACTATATCGCCATGACAAGATGCAATTAATAAGATGAATAGCAAAGGAGTCGAAATAATGTAGTGGTAATGATAACGGGAGAGATTAAGTATTCAGAATATGGTTCGAAGAGAGAGTGAGAAGGTATGTATGGTGGAATAATGGGACTCAAGACCCAGAAGAAAATAAAGAGTGAATGTATCTGTGTCATTAAGGCTGATATTATCTTGGTTTTAGGGCCCATAGATACCTTTCAATCTATTTCGTCAGTTAACATTTCGCTTAGAAGTAGGTGGTGGTTGGGCGTACGCAACATTTTACATAGCTTAAGACTATATTGATGTCAATTCTACACCAAAAGCGAATAAGACACTAAAACACCATTATTATCGGTATAGGGAGTTCCTGAATCTAATAATTTACACCAGACCAAGCATAGACAATCATCGGAAACCAGAAAGCATTAGACGGCCATTTTCTCCTGGTATCAGGCCCATCGTCAGTATTCACCCATAACCTTATTAAATATACGAGTTACCCCCCAATCGCACTGGATGATGTTTCGGCAATAGCACTAACTGATTCAAGTAAAAAATGTGAACCTTTAAATGGTGGTTTGGTGATCTAAAGGTTAGGGGCTTGTAACGGGACGACAAAGTCCTAGGTTGGATCCTCGGTAGGATTTTGGATGAGCAATACTGAGGACTACCATACCAGGATGAAACATGTCTAGGGTTTACTGCTTTACAGTGGCTATTTAACTACAACCAGTCCGTGATATTTAGACTCCCGTAGTCTGAGTGAGTACAATGTTTTAAGAAAATGACCAAGAACTTGAGTCTTTATAAATGTAAACTCTAACATATAGATCAATATGATTACGAGAATTACTTCGAAGAAAAATGAAATGGTTATTTCGAGTTTCAAAAACTATCGGTAATGTAACTACTTTACCAAGAGGTCTACGTGCTCAGCTTTAGAGGATATTATTATAACATGGTTACGTACAAAGTGGTGGTTAATAGGTCAAAAACAGCTTTCGATCAATGTGTTGTGGGTTGGGGTTTCGCTCCATTTACATTGGTGTGGGGTGCCAATTTGTATCAATACCCTCATACCTGAAGTGTGGTCCAAAAGAGTAAAGCTGTAATTTTTTAGATTAGTGTATTACCAGGTTATTCAAGCCGAAATGGTGGGACGGAGTTTGAACTTGTGACATAACTACACGAGTCATTTGATCACTAAGGTACTGACTTAAGCATTGTGTTGTACGCTAGGGTCTATTGGCACACTTCACCGCGAAAAGTTAACTCATATAAACGTTTGCTCATTTTGCAAATGTACTAAGCTTAGAAAAACAATGACATAAATGTTACTTTTTAAATAAAGCTTTGTAGTTGATGTTCTTTTCTCTTAAACTATTGATTTAACTATGAGGCTTTTATTATTTTTCAAACATAACCATAAGGAAAGACCTCAACGATAAAGCAGCTACTAGACATTTGTTATAAGCGGCTAACAGGTTGTTGTGTTAATACGGTATGTGATAGGATGTTATTAGTAATTGTTTTGTAACTGTAAGTAAAAATATTCACCTGCCATTTTCTTTAATCTGACTTTTAACCTTAAGGATATTATTTTTCTCATTTGCTAAATGCTTTCTAAATGTATTTTGTTTCTTTTCAGTAACATGGTCCAAACAATTACAAAACGTATTTAGATATTGTGACTTATTCTTCTGGTATCCAGTTTTACCAAAGTATTTGTACTACAAATGCAATAAAATAACATGCCCAGATAAGAACAGCAAAATCACCTACAACAACCAGTCACGTTCCATATTGGCAGTGCAGGAATATTACTCATTCGCGGAGAAATCCTAGCAACTACTACATTTTGGAGTTTGTACTAATGTCTTTTCAAAAAAGTCAATGGAAGTCTCATGATTAAATCAGTCAGTCCATAAAACATAACACTATTAAAATTTGAAAAGTGGGAATATATGATTTAGACACAAAAAGGTGGAACATGAACTAGCAATAATTTTGGATTGAAAATCAAACATACTTGAGAAATCATATGCAAAATACAGGGCGATTGCTATTAAATGATGTAAAGTAAGAGAGCAGTAATTAGAAATCAGATTACGATAAGTAATTAAAATGATCGAGAGAAAGGGTTGCCAGACAAAATATTCAAACATTTGGAGATTTAGTTACAGAGTCAAAACAGAACGTAAAACAATATTAAAAGCATTAATAAGAAAACTTACGGTCATCACTGTTATTTCACACATATTCTTTTCTTTAAAAACTTGCTCTAAAGTAGCGTACTCTCCTCGGTATGCGCCATTAACAATAAGAACTGTTGATGATGGTTCAGGAATAACAGTTTGAACGTGATTTTGATCCACTTTGATCTTTGTGTGACATTCCACTGTCCGTACGATAGCCTACGCAATAATAAGCACAAAATAATTATCATTTTGGAGCATAACTTAATTTTGCCTTTACTTTTATCCATAGCACATTTGTTCCTGGACCAGAAAATATCTACACACAAATGAAGCTATACTATTACAGACAATATATGACCAGAAGATTATACAACTAACAAATAACCAAACAAGAATAGAAGATGAAAGATATAACGATTTGAAGCCAGTCACATACTATCTTTTCTTGAGAAGCTTTTGAAATGTTAGATCCGTACACTTCGGACCTTACTGCCGGTGATGAAAAACGATGGAGTAAGGAAGTACCTTACTGTCGTCGCACTCTTGTAGTCACCAGTACGAATTCACCCTCAGAACATCAATCTTGAGCAACCTGTCTGAAGTGATGAGACCTAAAGGAATGAGTGGTTCAGTCAATATAGTTCGAGCGATCGCCATAAGAAAGCCCGACCACCAAGTCTATTGGGGTTCATGTTTTGATGCAAGTGATTAATGATGAGCTTGACATACGTTCACTATAGTTGATAATACAATATCCAAAGTGAAATGAAAGGGATGGGATAGTTTAACAACTGATTAAGAAATATTTATTATTTTCTATAATGTTAAAGAACTCCGCCTGTAGTCCCTCTGGGACTACTGCCGGATGACTGAAGAACATAAGATGTGATTAATGGAGACCTGAATAAAGGCTAGAATACTAAACAGGAAAAAAGAACAAACAAATAACAATGCTATGAAATAAAATACTTGAGGGGGTTTTCAGCGTGATCTTTCCGTTCCCGACCGAAGCTGCTACCTTGACGCGGTGGTCGGGCTTGCCTATCGTGATGACCCAACCGATCTATATTGGCTGGAACATATGTACATGTACGTTCTACCATGTCAGGCAGGTCGATTGGTGAACGGTAAGACTAAAAGCAGCAACTCAAGAACTGAGGGCGAAGTCGTACTGCTGACTGTAGAGGGGTGTGACAGCAGTAAGGGGTTTCCCTCGGACAACCAGCATGACAGCGATGCTGTCTTCCCACAAGGAGAGGTGGGGTTAGAAAAGATTGACCCTAAAAATGTCACACCTCACCTTACCTCACGGACTTCCGTCTCCGGCAGTAAGGCCCTTTGAAGAACGGAGCTAACACATTAAAAACCTTCCACGAAAAGGCCATGTGCGATCGGCCTCAAGCAGTTGTCCCTTGGGCTCTGCGGTCACGCTCCCAGGTCGTCAAGACCAACACTAATCCAATTTCCTTCTCAGGTTCCTCAAGAAATACCCTTCCACGGTGTGGGCAGCCGGGAAGTGACACCAGCCCTCATACCCGTAACAGCACACAAGACCAAGTTGGTCACATTCAAATCCTTCCTACACCTCCTAATACCTCTCGAATCTCTATGACTAACCCTCCTCATGTCTCTTTATCATCTCGCACCGCTAGGGCAAACGATTCGAGTACGTGGAACGCTATTCCTGGTTTCCTGAAACCACGCTCTAAACTGCACGTAGGAGCTTTTAACGTACGAACACTGTGCCAAATAGGACAGCAGGCTTCCTTAGCCAGGACTTTAGAATCCCGCGCCATCGATGTGTGCTGCGTCTCCGAAACGCGCATACAGGATTCCGAGTAGCGTCATTCATTTGACCTAAGCATATCAAAATAAAGAACCAACTCGATTCACAATTCGTGTATCTGGAAGCCCTGATTCTGCTTCCCGTGGCCTCGCCGGCGTAGGTATAGTATTGAGTCCTAGGGCAGAACTAGCTCTCTTAGAGTGGATCCCAGTAGACAGTCGTTTCTGCGCTGTCCGACTGAACGGAACAGTAAGGATCCGAAAAGATAGGGACACTCGTCGTTGCCTCTTCGTCGTCTCAGCCTATTCTCCCACTGACTGCAGCTCAGATGATGTAAAAGATGAGTTTTACAGAAAGCTTTACGACCTCCTAAAAGCTAGGCGCTCGGATGTAGTAATAGTGGCTGGTGACTTTAATGCTCAAGTAGGTAAACTAAGCGATAGGGAAAGACACCTGGGTGGATCTTATGGTGTCGAGGCTCAAAGAACAGATAATGGTGACCGTCTGTTGCAGCTATGCTCAGATAACTGCCTGCTTCTTGCAAATACTAACTTTAAGCATAAGGAAGAACATCTTTTAACATGTAGACCCCCTAATTCGTCCCAACATTGAACCCAAATAGATCACATCGCTATCAGCCACCGATGGAGGGGCTCGATAGAAGACTGTCGGACATTCTGGAGTACATGCTTAGAATCAGATCATGCTCTAGTGCGAGCGCGTTTTGCCTGCGTCTTACTGGACGTAGGAAAGACGCTGCAAGGAAACCTATGAGGGGCCTACTCAATGATAGTCAAGCTAAGAGTATATTTCAGGAACAACTAGGAAAACAGTTAGGCAGCCATGTAAGTGATACCCACCCCGAGGCAGCATGGAATGATATCCAAAAAGCTGTGGAAACAGCAGTGATATCTACTAGTAAGGTAAACCACAAGGTTAAGGAGAAACACTGGATCTCAGCAGCATCTATTGCACTGATAGATGCTAGGAAACTCATTCCACCTGGCTCTGAACATAATGAAGAGCGGAGTCAGCTTAAGCGCAAGCTGACAAGAAGTCTACGCAATGATCGTGAACAGTGGTGGGTAGCGAAAGCAAGAGAGATGGAAAAGGCAGCGGCAATAGGTAATAGCAGACAATTGTTCAGACTCGTTAAGGAAACCGGAATTAGGAACCCGACCGTTAGCGAAACAATCTCAGAGAAAGATAGACATATTATACATTCTCAATCCAGGAGATTGGATCGATGGGCAGAACACTTTAGGGATCAGTTCAACTGGCCTTCAGCCACACTTCGGTTTCCCACGATCTCTAGTCAACCTGAATGGCAAGTTAATGTAGGTCCTCCATCTCTTTACGAAGTTGAAAATCTGAAGCGAAGGAGAGCAGCAGGCCCTGACAGGTTTACTCCTGAGATTTTTAGGGATGATAGTTCAGCATTAGCAGTGAGATTGACTGAAGTCTTAGGTAGAATTTGGGAACTGGACGTAATCCCATCTGACTGGTCTCAATCACTGGTTGTGCCAGTCTATAAGAAAGAACAAAAGTCTTGTGACAATCACAGAGGAATCAGTTTGACTAATATAGTGTCTAAAATATTAGCTTCAATAATACTTCGACGCCTAACCAAAGCTCATGAAGAGCAGACTAGAGAAAATCAGGCTGGTTTTTGACCCGGACGTGGTTGTATAAACCAGATATTCACACTACGTCAGGTTCTAGAACACTGACACACTTTCAGACGCCCCACAATGGTAGTATTTCTCGACCTTAAGGCAGCATTCGACTCTGTTGATCGTGAGGTTCTATGGCAGTGTTTGTCACTGAAAGGAGTACCAAAGAAGTACATTAACCTTAAAAAGGCTCTCTACTCGAACACAACTGGTCGAGTGAGAGCTTATGGTGAACTGTCATCAGAATCGATTACCTCAAGTGGTGTTCGTCAGGGCTGTCCACTCTCTCCATTCTTGTTCAACTTTGTCGTCGACGTACTTTTAGAGATAACACTTTCCTCGTCTAGATTCCCAGTGGTTGAACTTCTACCAGAAGATTCACTTGTTGACTTAGAATATGCCGACGACAGTTCTATTTGGTGAAGACGCTGACAAAATGCAGGGTCTTCTTACCACCGTAAACAACAATGCAAGCATGTTCGGGATGCGATTCTCCCCCTCGAAATGCAAAATGTTGCTTCAGGATTGGGTTACATCCACACCCGAACTAGTGATAGAGAGTGAAGTAGTTGAGTGTGTCGACCGCTTCACTTATCTTGGGAGTCTCACCAGCCCTTGTGGTCTGGCATGTGACGAAATCTCAGCACGGATTCAGAAGGCTCGACTAGCTTTTGCCAACTTGCGTCATTTATGGAGTAGGGGAGATATCTATCGACCTACTAAAGGAGGACGTGTTTACTGCGCAGCAGTTCGTTCCGTCCTACTTTATGGCAATGAAACATGGCCGGTAAGAGTAGAGGATATTCGTAGGTTACTAGTATTTGATCATAGGTGTCTCCGATGCATTGCTCGTATATCCTGGGACCATCGAGTAAGTAATGCAGTTGTTAGGAAACGGGTACTAGGTAAGGATGGCAAATTAATTGATGGAGTAGTGGAACTTCATCAGTTGAGATGTCTGAGACACGTGTTACGTGTACCCAAACACTGGCTTCTCCGACGAGCGGTGTTTTATGGTGTAAGAGTAGGTTGGAAGAAAGCAGACGTTTAGGCCAAAACATGGCACAAATCCATGAAGTCACTGACAAGTGGACTGAGCCATGATGGTAGGTGTTGACTACCTGGTTGGGGACCGCGAGATGATAGCAACCGATGGTTAGAGACCCTGAATGAAGTGGCTCAAGATCGTTTGCAATGGCGCAAGTGCATACACTCTTTGTGTTCTCCCGAATTTTGATTTGATTCGTCCTTGTCTCTTTTTTTCTCTTCCCAAATTTATTTCACTGTATTATACTCTTTAAGTAACATCTCCAAACACTAATCTTCCCGATTACTGCTTATACTTTTATTACCTATACCACCACGGGATTTGAATCGACCACTGCATCTCTGTGTTAATGTGGTGTGGCAACTCGAACTGATGTACGTACGTACGAAGTTCTACTTTGTTACTGACTGATTAACTGTTACAGTAAGCTTTTTCAAGCTTTTCAAAACTAGTATTTAGGATCTTATTCCACTTACTAAAAACTCACAAGCTATGTATAGAGAACTTCTATCTATTATTAACGATTCAAGGCATTTTTATATAGGCAGCTTGTGTACAGTTATTCTCAATAATTAAACCTTAGCAGGTCGTACTACAACGTCAGAATCTAACGATTCCAAGTCCTTGGATGAAATAATAAACTCTATGATGGCTGTGTCGACAACAAAGTAATGAAATAAACCAAGGAAGGTATGTAGTCGCCTCTGAA